TCGAAATCACTCCTACAAGGCATAAAATACCCCGTTAGTGCAAAACATTAGCGATTAAAGTGCAAACTCAACTAAAGTGCAGTAAATTTGAGTGTAATAAGCGACTAAAATACGTAATTATAGCCTATCATCACGCTTATCAAATTTCTGTCCAGGAGATATTTTTTAAAGATTTTCTTAACGGGAATCAAATTTTAAATGATGATTATGAAAAATCCATCCAACGTAATTTCACATTGATCTATTGATGGTCGAAGCAAGAAAATAAGTATACTGTCATGACCTGCCACATCATCATGCTACGATGCCACGTAGGTGCCACTTGGCATATATTTTTGCCATATGGAATGGTTACATAAGTTAGGGAAAAGATCTTGGTGGAATATTCTAGAACTATGGAGAATTTCCTTGGAAATGTTCTAGATATTTATGCATTTGTAGGAAGGTTCTAGAGAAATATAGAGGTTTCCTTAGGAAGACCTAGAACCCTATAGAATTGTTAGGAAAGTCTTAGAAGAATCTAGCTGTGTAGAATATTCTAGAGAAGGGACTTAGTTGTAAATATGGAAGGACTTGTAGAACAATTATTATTTACATACCAGCCCCTAGGTGATTAGTATAAATAGGGGGCATTTATTTGTAATTCATCAACCAAGCAAAACAAATCAAGTTCTCTCTAATAGAAAAGCTTCATTTGGTAATTCTCTTGTTTTCTAACATTCCTTAGTAATCTTGAGTGTAGTAAGACTGACTTGGCATAGCAAGAATATGAGCAAGTTGTGCAAGATCGTGAGTGAGTTGTCAAGTGCCGCACGTGTACTTAGTTTAAGACTAAGGACGTGACAAAGTGGTATCAGAGCAAAGGTTATGACTAAGGAATGTTAGAAAGAAATACAGGAGATTGGTAGAAGGAAATTTTGTAGGAACCATAGCCGAAATTACCAAGGGCTTGGTACTTGCAAAAGGGATCAACGTGAAGGTCCCTAAGCGAAAGCAGTATGGTTGTGCACGAGCTGCATGCGAGGTGACAGACTGGCGGAAGATAAGGGAGCTCCGACAAAGGCCACAATTCGGGAGTATGTACGCGAGTTCACTACCTTAATGTTGCAAATCTCGTCATTGTCTGAGGAAGATTTCCTCTTATACTTCATAGATGGGTTGCAAAATTGGGCAAAGCATAAGTTAAGAAAACATCAAATAGCCAACGTGAACGGGGCCATCGGAGTTGCCTAGTCACTTTTTAACTTCAAGATGGAGCTTGCCAAGTCCAAAGAAGGCAACGCCGAGAGGGATGAGGGAGATCATGATGAGGACAACGGGAAATGCATAACCGAGGTATACAAGGGTAATGACAAGGGGCCATCCCATAAGAGACATAGGTCCAAGAGAAACGGCAAGGGGCCGGAAAAATGATAGGGAGTACGTGCCTAAAAGAGGGTGCTACTTCTGTGAAGGATCACATCGCGCAAGTGAATGTTCAGAGTTGGGGAAGTTTGCAGCAATGATAGGGAACTTTGCTCAAGCACATAAGGATGACACAGGGGGAACCGCCTGTATTGGAGGGATGCGCTTAGAATCTAAACTGAAAGTAGGGGATTCCAAAGCATATCTTGGCACCATGCAAATGGAGCATGGTGGCAACAAGAAAATTGGACGGATATAGTTGAAGAGGATGGCGAGTTATAAAGTGATGGCATGCTATCGGACTCAGACGATGCACCAAGCAGAGGGTTCAAGTTTGCTAGTAAGGCTGGACCACGGAGGGCAGCCAAATAGGGAGTGGAAGCATGGACTCGATGCTTGAGAAGCTGCTAGACTTGGTTGAGTCATGGGAAGATTCAGGCTAAGAGCAAGGAGGGGCATCCGATGGGCGGAGGATGGACGCCATCATTGCTAGCTGTCCAAAGTACAAACGACGTAAGAAGAAAGGTAGCCAGTACCTTGTGAAATGGGAAGGAGAACCGCTTCATAGGGCATCATGGCTAATGGACAAAGATCTCTGGCGACGCCAAGGCGATGTGCGCGCATATGTGTCGATGCTTTGTGCCGAG